GGTTCGCGTACTGTCTTCATTTCTCTGTAATCTTCTATCCATTCAAAGGCATTAAAATAAAGTAAAACACAAAATATCCCTAACCCTCTGTCGACAAATTTAAAAGAAAATGTCAGCTAGCTGCTCTCTTGAAGAACACTCCAGTGTTTTCTGCGCTAAATTCACCGCAAACTGTACCAAAATCAACAAAACATTTGAGTTGGTTCGTGTTTTACGTCCTATATTAACCAATAGTAACACAAGAACACGAACAGTATGGTCAGTGCAGTGAAGCCCTGCCCATTTGCATGTGAAATCGCCCGTAAAGTGTGTCCTGGATACGGGACAACCCCCACCTCTTATTGGACGCCAATTTTGAAGTATATTTGTGAGAATTTGTTTGGTTCTGATTGCAGTGGTGTTTGATGGTGACACGATCGAAGGAGCTCCTCCTTTATGGTGTGCAGCAGCAGCGGGTCACTTTGAAATCGTCAAGTTCCTCGTGCGTCGCGGCGCGAAAGTCAACAGCGTCTGCCGCAGTAATTCAACCCCCCTCCGCGCCGCTTGCTACGACGGACACTTCGAGATAGTCAAATTTCTAATCAAACATGGTGCAGGTAAGCCCAACTATTCTCATCAAGAAAAAAATTGCCTCATCCTTTTTCACACGGTTTCTTGCACGGCTCTTGCTCCGGGGAAAATTTAAAGAACGAGTTAAAGTGAATAAGCTAACCTACTCTCCGGAGCCAGAATGGGCATTTTTCATGAAAAATAAAATCTTGAAAGGACCCTACAACAAAACGGCCAAATCGGCCTAAACACGGAATCGTGCGATTTTCTCAGGGATGATAGAGGGTCTTCCCAGACACTCAAAACTGGTCATATTTTTTGCCTAACCCCCAGGGAAAAGGGGGGGGATGGGGGGTCAGAGTCAAAACCTTTAAAGTAGCATAACTTCTCAACGGTTTGTCGTAGAAAGATGATCGTGGTGTCAAAATTTCCAGAAAAATGAGAGCTTTCAGAATATATGTATGATATTAATAAAATTTTAAATTTTGACCCACTTTTTGGGGAATTATACAAGGTCCCCATTTCGTAAATTTTCGTTTTTCGATATTTTCGGTTGTTCGGTTTGCACGGAGCAAAACAAAAACAATCCTAAATGAAAGTAGAGGGCTTAAGGTTTAAAACAAGCCCAAGTTCATCTTGGGAAAACGATTAAAAGCGGAGTTATGAGTCTTCAAAGTTGACGCGGCGCGCGGGAACCTTGTATGTTCCGAGTCTCAAGGTCACCTGCGCCACCCGGATTGCCCATAGGTCGCAAGTTTTTGTGTTTTTATACTTCTGTAGGTAGGTTTTAATGTATATCATTCAATGTAAATAGAATGTTCGGAATTTTTTAATTTTACGGGAGGAGCGAGAGGGGGCTTAAGAGTATCAACCATTATGTCTATCATACCTCATTAAACATTTGCTGACGATGACGATTCTGCTCTTATAATTTAGAAGAAACCATGGACCCTCAGTTCAAATATACATATGCTCCATACAGAACTGAACCATTTAGAAATTATAACCCATTGATGCCAAATTTTGGGGTACCCCTAATTTTATAATGTTTTAATTGAGCTATAGCTACAGCGCTTGACGGAACTCACTTGGTAAAGCCAAATAGTTTCTGGTAGAAGCAGACGAGCTTTGAGCTTCAAAACAAGTCTCAGTTATTCTTGAGGGGGCTATTTGAAACGCAGTAAAATTTTTTGACGTTAATGTGGTGTACCTCGCCGAAGGCTCATTGTGTAAAATTAAAAAATTCTGATTAAACTATCTTCATTGAATGATTTACACTAAGAATGACCTACAGAAGCATAAAAACATAAAAACTTGCAACCTGCAGGCAATCCGGGGCGCGCAGGTGACCTTGAGACTCGGAACATACAAGGTTCCCGCGCGCCGCGTCAACTTTGAAGACTCATAACTCCGCTTCTAATTGTTTCCCCAAAATCATCTTGGGCTTGTTTTAAAGCTTAAACGCTCTACTTTCATTTGAAATTGTTTTTGTTTTAATATGTGCGAACCGAACAACCGAAAATCTCAAAAAACGAAAATTTACGAAAGGGGGACTTGTAAAATGACCCAAAAGTGGGTCAAATTTTAAAATTTTATTAATTTCATACATACATTCTGAAAGCTCTCATTTTTCTGGAAATTTTGACACCAAGATAATCTTCCTACGACAAACCGTTGAGAAGTTATGCTAATTTAAAGGTTTTGACTTTGACCCCCTCTCCCCCCTTTTCCCTGGGGGTTAGGCAAAAAATATGACCAGTTTTGAGTGTCTGGGAAGACCCTCTATCATCCCTGAGAAAATCGTACGATTCCGTGTTTAGGCCGATTTGGCCGTTTTGTTGTAGGGTCCTTTCACGTGAAATATTTCATGAAATTTCAGAAAGGACCCCGCACACTAGGGTGAGTCAAAAAACATGGATTTCCGACTTTCAAAATCGTATAGGGGGAAAAGTTGCGCCTAGGTATCAAACTATCAAAGCATTCTTCGGGAAAAAAAAAAACAAAATTATAGGTGCCGCTTTTGCAATTTGTGTCAAAAAATCACGTATTTCAAGCTGTTTTTTGCGATCTCATCGCACTGTTTTAGCAAGATAGACATTGTCCGGAGCCCTCATTTTAGGAGTATCAACTCAAATTTAGTAGTTTCTGTAAGGTATGCCGATTAGTTTTTAGATCATAATATTTTTGGTGCCTCCCAAATGCTCTTAAAAATGCAAAAAACACAATTGCTGCCAGTCCGGATCGTACTATGTTAACGATTTTATTGATTTTTTAGGTGACTTGGCAACCACGCTGAATGTCAATTTTTGGTTTTCAGGGACCAAATGATTAGGGGAAAATATTAGTTTTTTTGGATGCGGGCGGTTTTCCCTCTATTTGCAAGCTCACGGTTAGGCCGAGTCGCTCGATTTGGTCAAAATCAGTCTTTAATTATTTTAATACTTTAGTCTACGTATTTGAGCTTCTTTTGATACGAGAAATCATAAAATATTTCATTATTAAATTTGAATGATATACTTAATTATTCAATCTTTTTAATTATTATTATTATTAGTTTTATTTAATTAAACTATTTGAATATTTAATTCATTGAAGGTTAAATTTGCTATTCACCTGATTTAAAATAAACTGAACAATGATAAAGTAAGAAATCCTTGAATAAATAAACCTTAGTCCAGGCAAACTAGCCAAAAAAAGGGCCCAACCTCGGACAAATTAGCACAAACTTCTTTTGTGTTTTTTGTGTTGCGGCGAGCGGAATTTCCATACTACTGCGCTAATTGGACTACATTTTGCAATTTGGAACTATAAATTCTAGCCCGATTGAAAAACAACGTGTGTGCCATTAGTTTCCCTATGCACATAAGTGTTTTTCCAGAAGAGCCAGAATTTATGGTTCCATATTGCAAAATGCAGTCCAATTGGCCAAGCGAGAGTTGCGGACGGACGACGTATAAAAAATTGCCTACGTAGAGGTAGTCTGGCAGCAACATACTTGCCGCCAGTCACTGGAAAATAATAGAAAATAGTAGTTGCGTGCGGTGCCAGCGAGCGCCTCTGTTTCAATTACTTAGCATTAATTCGGGTCTCTAACCTTCCATAGTCTCTGATTTTCACATGAGTCCCGGAAAGCACTGCAGAGCTACACGGAGAACATGAGTCACGTGGAAATTGAGATATATGCCCTATGTCAGAGGGTCGACGAGCTGTCCAAGCGAGAGCGATGTGGCGTGGCAGCTTGGAAGGGAGGAAGAGAATGTCTCAATGACGAGTATGCTACGGCATAGATGAGTTATGACGGAGAAACAAAGAACTGTATTACATATGCAAAACTGGTAAGTATGAGCTGAAACAGCAGGTAGCCTTGATCGAGGATTCTTGGCGCGTTGCGTCGCTGCTGCATGGTCGCTGGATCATGCCAACGGGGGAATCCAAGCGCCACCGCCACACGCGTCATCCTGACTCCGGACTCCTGCCTCTGTTTCGTTTTATTACGCCTCGTTTTGCCAGAGGTCAAGGCCTCAAGGCTGCGCTTGCGCCATCAATGTCGTGAGCGTGAACTGAACTGAAACCGCCGGTACCCTTCGCCCAATCCGCAATCAGTTGAATTGGCAACCAACACACGGGTCACTGAACTCACTTGTCACGCAGAATGTCACCAGGGATGATAGGAGGGCCGTTCGAAACCCCGGAGCATTCTTAGGGGTAACTACAGCTTGGAAAAGGGCGGAAGCGAAAGGAGTCAATTTCGTGATGTAAAATTTGGAGGACCTAAGCGAAGTGACTAGCTGCAGAAGGCATAGGGTGTTTTGTTGAAATTGGCTGATTGTTGAGATTGATAGAGAAGCAGACATAAATGATGTATGTAGAGGGATTTTATCGGGGGAAGCGGGTGGTTGCAATGAACAAAGGAGGTAAGTAGTAGATTAATAATGGCAACCCACGAGAGACCCTTTAGTTAGTCCATCACTTTCTCCTTTAGTCTATAAAAAACCACCCATTTCAACAATAGGATCGTTCCATCGGCACTCCTTACGTCTTCTTTATCTATAGCTGTGTCTATCAATTTCAACAATCGAGCTGCAAGTTTGGAAAACCGGGAAACATCTGAGAATTTCATTAGGTCTGGGGTAGCAAGGAAATGTCAGGGATTTTATGAAGAAGACTGGAAACTTTTTCTATAGGTGCTGTTCATATTTTTCATGTGCTCCTTAAATGTGCTTTTTATTTTTTACGAAAAATGAACTTGTAATTAACTGCCAAGCCTCAAAAGCGGATTATAATGTTTTTATTTACGAAAAAATGCCTCATACTGCGGTATGTCTAACTAGAAGACAAGGACAAATGCAAGGGTTGCTAGCAACCAGGAAAACTGGGAAAAACCTGGAAAAGTCAGAGAACCCCCCCCCCCTCAATCTGTAGACACCCTTTAAAAGTCAGGAAGAAGAAGCTAGCTGGAAACGCTTGGGAGATTCCACAGGAAATTCTCTCACGCGAGTGAAAAAATCACACAAAAGAAAAGAAAATCNGGGGGGGGGGGGGGGGGGGGGGGGAAGCCCGCTCGTGAAGGGAAGAAAATCCCACACGGGAACTAATTCTTTCACAGGGATTTTTTTTCTGTTAGGCACAAACGGCCAACCATAGTCTACTCTTTTACGTCTTATAAAAAGCCATGTATGTGAGTTGGAGAAAATAATGCATTCCGACCAAAGTTTTCGATGACCGTGAGTGTGATTTTTAGGCAAATATACGATGAATTAAAAAAGTGAAAAATTATCAGTCACTCTCACATAGCAAAAAGTTATGAATTTCAGGAAAAAACTGGTCTTATCTCTCATGTTTGATTATTATTTTAATCTTCCGCGTGGTTGCCAATGTCACTGCCAAAACTACTCGGAAAACTTCGTTTTTTTTTAAACTTATCTAACCTCGGAAATAAGAAATTAATCTCTCTGCGCTGATTTCACAAGGGTCCGCATTTCATGTTTTTTTCTCTTTTCAGATACATATAGTCGATAGTCTTGAGTACCTTAGTTAGTACCTTGCTGATTTTCGCTCATTAATTCTCTGAATTAGAAATACTCTTTGCCTCAAAACCTCTAGCAGTCGGATTCTGTATCTTATCGCAATGGAGCAAGCATTTTGGTGCGTCGCCAATTCCCTTTGTTATGTATAATCCAAATAGGAATCGCAGTCTTGTCGATAACCGCTGGAGCACCCAATAAAAAATTGAAATTTGAATTTTTATTTTTAAAATTAAATGTGCGGGTCTTCGGTGTCTCTGTTCGGGG